AATTACCAGATCACCTTTCGCCCCTGTTGCCCCTGCATTCCAAAACAAATGGCTAAAACAGATGGCTCATGGTATTAAATTCTATCTAAACAGAGATCTTGGGTTCACATTCTCACACACCATCAATGAAATAAGAATCTAACATAAGAATCTAACATTTCTTACTTTCTAAATCCTTTGCATAATTACATTTAAGCCAATAAATTTCATACATAACATAGATAGCTTTTTAGAAGAAAAGGCCTTTTCAAAGTAAAAAAGGAACTCAGTAGAAAACAGCTTCAAAAGAAACCTCTTCAGTTTACACCCCCCTTTCCCAGCCAGCTGCTTTTCCCATTAGCTCTTGCCCTTTAACCTTCGGAAAATATGGCTCGAGTCTGATGGGAGGCACATGGTACTATTTTCTGTTAAACAATAAATATTACTATTTACCAACTCTTAATTAGTGTTTTTGCAGCTTGATTGTATTCTGTAATATGTTGGGTCAGTATAACCTTTGTTCCCAGCCTGTAATTCCCTTTTACAACTTTGAGAAACTTGTCTCCTGCTATAAATCAAGGGGGGCCCTTGTCCAGCAGAGCAGGAAGAAAAAAAGCTGCCAGAGTACCTAGCCAGCTGGTTTCTGCCTGGCATGAAACATACAAACATTTGCAAATATATTTTTAAGCTCATTTTAAAATACAGGCCTTGATCAGATGCCTCATCACATCTTTGTGTCCTACAGCCCTCGGTGTTATCTGTGTATGCACATCCTTTGGCTGAAAAGAATAAACAAAGTTAGGTGTAAAAAAAGAGAGAAAGCCTTAGCCTTTTCTTCTCCCGAAGATATCCTGCAAGGCAACAGAGGTTTCGGATGAGAGTTTTCCTTATCCTAGATGGTCTACTTTCTCAGGTGGACAAGCCAGGCCTGTCTCCCACTTCCCTCTACAGCTTGCTCATACACCACATTCTTGAGAACAAGAAGAAGAGGGCAGAAATATAACTATTGTGAGAGGACTCCTTCAGAGGTCCAGAATATGGGAAGTCTGTGTGGAATTTAATAATTAATAATTTGGAACAGAAACCCAAAATATTGGGTTGCATTGAGACAAATTGAAATTGCAGAGTTTCGAGAAACTAAAAAACAAAGTGAGAGATTGGCTTCATTATTATCAGATAATGGAGGCATACAATTTGGATAAGAAAATTGGCTTTCAGGTGGAAAAATCAAAACTAGAAACAGAACTGTTAGAACCCAAAACTAAGAATTTGTCAAGAATGTATAACTTGCTGTTGAAATGGAATACTCAGGATGAAACGGTGAAATCTGCTATGATTAAATGGGCACAAGACGTTGGACATAATATTATGTTTGCTGACTGGGAACAGTTATGGACCACAGGTATGAAGTTTACGGCATGTAATGCCCTAAGAGAGAATATTATGAAAATGATATACAGGTGGTACATGACCCCAGTCAAGCTTGCAAAAATCTATCATTTGCCCGACAATAAATGCTGGAAATGTAAAGAAACTGAAGGTACATTCTTTCACCTTTGGTGGACGTGCCCAAGGATTAAAGCTTTCTGGGAAATGATATATAATGAACTGAAAAAGGTATTTAAATATACCTTCTTGAAGAAACCAGAGGCCTTTCTTCTGGGCATAGTCGGCCAATTGGTGCCAAAGAAGGACAGAACTTTTTTTATGTATGCTACAACAGCAGCAAGAATACTCACTGCAAAGTATTGGAAGACACAAGATCTACCCACTTTGGAAGAATGGCAGATGAAGGTGATGGACTATATGGAATTGGCAGAAATGACTGGCAGAATCCGAGACCAGGGAGAAGAGTCGGTGGAAGACGATTGGAAGAAATTTAAAGACTATTTACAGAAATATTGTAAAATTAATGAATGATAGAGTGATGTTGGATAGTAATTAAGCAGTTTCCAGCTGTAATGTTCTAAGAGAATATGAAAAAAGGGTTATAAACGGGTTAAAATCTAATGGTAAGGATTTGCTGAACCAATAAATTGAAGTGGAATACAAAAAAGGGAGGTACGAGGAGGTCCGGGAAACAAGCTAAAGGAAAATAAGTAATAGAAAATATGTGCGTTTTTAACTGTTTTTATTTTGTATTTTTCTTTTTTCTTTTTCATTTTCACTGTAATATTTCAAAAAACCTTAATAAATATCTTATAAAAAAATAATAATATTGGGTTGGATTGTTGCGATTGTTCTGAGCTAAACTGGGCCCATGCTGCAACCCACACATGTTATCAGAAATGTGACGGTGTGCAGCCCCTCTCTGAACTCCCTGTTGAGTCCTACAACCCCCCACCCCCGCTAACTTCCCTCCCTCTCTATCTGGCTTGCTGTTCCAGTAGCAGCAGCGGCAGAATTCCCAAAGGGAAGGAAGGTCCCCTCCCTCTTCTCAAAGATGTCACGCTGCTATGACTGCAAGCCAAGCCCCAGGAGCACTGCACCTTTACAAACGGAAGGGAATAAGTACACTAGTCCTGAGTGTGGGAACAAAGATAGTGAGCAGCGTGCCAGGTGCCAGAAGAGACAGCTCAAGCAGAAGAGACAGGGAAGGAATTGCCATATTCAACAACAGCAAGAGTAGCGAGGAAGGAAAGTGGGTGCAAGGGGGTTGGGGAGAATTTGAAATCTCCTCTGGGTCGGATTTTATTTATCTCAAAGAGTAAATACCCTGTCTTCTGATCAAGGCACTTTACAACATATTATAAAAATACGTCTTTTGGTGATGGGGCAACAAAGAGAGTTGCTGGGGGGGGGCATTATGTTCAGGCTGCCGCTGTCCTTACATGGCATACAACAACCCAGAAAAATTATGCACACCCTGTTAAGTTGTGGGTGAACATATCAGACGACACAGCGATTCTTCAAACAGCTCTTCTTTATTCAGATGTCAGAACAGAACTAACTGAGGAGCTCAGTCAGCCTGCTTACATAGAGTTCCAGAACAATTGTAACTGTTGCACTTTCTAAAACTATCCAATCACAGAACGTCACTTTTCGATCCTTCATTTGCATACAAACTATCCAATCACAGAACGTCACTTTCAATCCCTTATTTGCATAACTATCTACAGTATCCTCCTGCTGGCCCAGGGTGAGAACATCAGTACATAACACACCCCACCCGGAAGTGTATTTCCAGGCAGCTCTGAGGTAGACATAATTGTCCCTAGAGGATGAAGCTTCTCCTCCTACTCAGGACTCTTTGCATGGTTTATTTCTATGGATCATGGCATCTGTGATGTCTGCATGAGTTTAATATAAAATATACCTCTCACAAACTGTCTGTGACCCTGGTACAAGCTCCTATCTCAGACATGGCTTGGAAAGAATAATTAACACCCTGACTCCTAATAGCTGCAGAAAAGATCAGCATACTAATCTTTGTATTTGCCAGCAGACTTAATTATCACCCTCCCGTAAGCAGGAACACAGGCAATGAATGTATGATTCAGGAACTGTAGAGACAAGTCTTTCCCAAAATTAAGGTTGTGTCCTCTTCACTTTGAACGTCTCTTAGAAAGCACAAACGACTTTTGTTATTCACTCACCAAGGAAGGCCTCTCTCCACTCTCCGTAGAAGTTAGTTAAAATAAAATAACACTTAAACCCCAGATTTCCAATGGTTGGCAAGCAGCTGGAGACCCACTTTGCTCCTCAAGGATCTCCAGGATCAACCCTACAATTCACTGGACCACAGAGTGAGTGTTGTTGCCTTGCTCACATAGGATATTGAAAGGGAGAGCTTAATTCTCACAGAAGGCATAGACGTCCAATCCCTGACTTTGTGCTTTGCTTGCTCCAATATCAGGTATGGCCCACTGACCCCTCTTTTCGTGTGGGTACTGTAGCACATCTCTATCTTCACTTTTTTTAGTCTTTGGCTAGTTAGGGACTCTTTTACTTTTTAGAATCAAGGTGTGTTGATGCACCTAATGATTACAGACCCTCCAACATTTATCTGATGAAAATAGGAACGTCCCAAGGAAAAGAGGCGCATTCCGGGATCAAATCAGAAACTGGGACAGCTTCTGTAAATCTGGAACTGTCCCAGGAAAATAGAGACACTTGTTTATTTGCTGCCCAGATATCTGCAACCTCGCTGTCTAAAGGTGTAATAAACCCACCTTTTCCTACTTATAAGCCCAAGTGGGAAAAATTGCAAATGGTTTTTTTTCATTAACACACACAAAACAATGAAAGGATATCATATTTTTCAGTGTACAGTGGTAACTCGGGTTAAGAACTTAATTTGTTCTGGAGGTACGTATGTAACCTGAAACTGTTCTTAACCTGAAGCACCACTTTAGCTAATGGGTGCTGCGCCTCCGAAGCACAATTTCTGTTCTTACCCTGAAACAAAGTTCTTAACCTGAAGCACTATTTCTGGGTTAGCGGAGTATGTAACCTGAAGCGTATGGAACCTGAAGCGTATGGAACCCGAGGTACCACTGTATAAGATGTCCCCATGTATAAGACGACCCTTATTTTTTTGAACCCAAAATTAAAAAATCGGGCCAGAGCCCAAACCCGCACCGCCCGCACCCGTGTCAAAGCCCAAACCGAACCCAAGCCCAGGTCAGAGCTTGGGCCGCCCGCACCAGAGCCGGAACCCCTGAGCATTCACCAACCGTGTATAAAACGACCCCCAAATTTTGACTAAATCCTCTAATATACGGGGAAATATGGTATGTTGTTAGCAACTAAATAAGAGTGCAAAGAATGAATATGTAAATGGATGGGAAGACAAGGATTATGGAGCCAACCAAGGGGCTGCAGGAGGAGGAGGAGGTCGCGGAATGGAGTCCAGCCCAGTCTAGCCGGGGATCAGGCTGCAGGCAGCCATCATGTGCTGGCATTCCGCTTGTGTTTAAAACTCCATAGCAACAGAACAGGCCTCTCATGTGACCGTTAACCCCTGCCATTGTCTGTTTGATACCTTCACTCTGGATTCTGAGGCTGACAACGACGGCAGCATGGGCAACATGGGCAGCCGAGTAGAGAAACGGGATTTCTTGCCGACTTCTCCAGGAGGTCTGCGTGGCATGCGTCAGCCAGACGGGCTGCTCCAGAAAGGAACGTCACAGCATGGAGTTTTTGGCTACTTCCATTGTGGCAAGCGGGACACCCGGGCTGAGAAGAAGCACCAGTCATCTGGAGGTGGCTTTCAAAGGGACTATGAGAGTGACCAGGAGAACCAGTCCCCCGAGCGGTATTTCCGGGACCATCAACAGGCAGCTGATGTCTCCAAGAGCTCATTGCCTGAACATGGATGCTTCAACAGGTGTCGGATCAGACCCTCTGCCTTCAAGGTGGTATCATGGAAGAGCCTGTTGTGCATGCCGAGGCGGTCATCAGCCAAAGGCCAGAAGCTCTCCAAGAGCAACAGGAGCCTGGCCCAGAACAGCACCAGCAGCTCCTCGCAACGCAGCCCTCTCCGCAGTCACCTGCTGCACACCATCAGCCTGGACGGGAGCACAAATGATATCCAAAGCTTCCCCACCAGCACTCCACGTTTCAAACTTGCTCCAACCCAACTCAGTGCTTCCGTAGGCCACAACAACCACACTGGTGACTCCTTAGACAGGGCTTCCTGGGGGCCACGGGACCCCTTGGCTGTAGACACAACACCTCCGTCTTGCAAGAGCCTGAGCCCCCTGCAGAGCTCTGGGGAACCACAGCCTCCGAATGAACCCGCAAACTCCTTGGAAGATGTGATGAAGCAGCTCGAGGACCGGCTGACTGAGAAGGGCATGGAGAGAAATCTGAGTGAGAATGATGATCCCTTCGCTCAGATATTTGAGGACAAATGGTGTTTGTGGATAGATGAGCTGGATGAACTGAAGCAGGAAATTCAGCTGCAGCTCTACAAAGCTCAGCAGCTAGAGAAACGGCTGCTAGAAGAGCTGGACCTTCAGCAGAGGCAGTGCAAGGAGCCGAGGCTGCAGCACCGACAGGAACAGTTGGGGGACTCTTCCCAAACCTTGCCAGAGCGTGGCTCCCCTGTTCCTCCACGGGACTCTCCCATGCAAGCATGCCAGGATGTTTCGGCTTGTGAAACAGATGGCTCTAAAAGTAGGGGGATGCAGGGGGAGAGTGCAGAGGGCGCTGAATGGCTAAGGGGAGAATTGCTGCGTGAGAGGCGCCAGGCCCAGCTGCAAGAGGCAGACTTTGAGCAGGAGCGGAAAACTTGGGAAGAGGAGAAGAAAATAGTCCTGCGCTATCAGCGGGAGATGCAGGCCAGGTATGTGGAGATGTACTCCCGCAACCAGGCACTGGAGAGGCAGCTAAGTCAGTTCCGGCAGTTACAAGCTGAGCCCAGATGTATCAGCTAAAGGTCTGGTTCACCTCGTCCATAGAGGATTTTGAAGACTGCTGCCATCCATGGAATGGAATCCCAGCATTGCTCCTGGCATTTTCCGTCCATCCATAGTTGCCCTTGCTCTGTCTAGCTTGTTGCTACTTTTCATAATTTTGTTTATTCCACCACTGGATTAGTTTTTAATTTTCCATTCTTTTAACTTTGTTTGCCACCAATTCATACAACAACACTCTTCTATTTATGTAATTATTTGATATATTATTCTTTCCTATGTACAAATATTTGAAATTTATTAATAAAATATTGGACACAATCTGCCTGGTTGAAGATAATCATAGTAGAACAGGTTCTAACACACAAACTCATTAACTGAATTTAGATCAACATATCAGCTGCTGTGTTGTTGTTGTTATATTGCATCTTCAAAGAATGCAACATTTCAGTTATAGGGTCAAAAGTCTATTGCAGGTCCATTTTTTCAGCCAGAAGACAAGACTTGCTGGCTTTTCATTTGACGAGTCGGATGCGATCACTTTTAATATAGAATAACTTGTCAGGACTTCTGCTGATGTGACTACAGTAAGCAGAAGGGAACTGAGTATTGTTAGAGCTGTGATGAATATTCACGTTTTAATAGCCTATCATTTCAGTGGGGTACAATTTTTTTTCTTAACAAACACTCATATAGTTCAGTGAAACGAGGTTTGTAGCTGGCATCCCGTTAAGGCTTTGTTCAATTCTAGGTTTTTCTAATGTTTTCCTTAAACATTTTGATTTTTGTTATTTAGTTTAATTCTATAAGATAATATTTCTAGTCAATTACTTCTCGTTTCAGGGATTTTCACAGTATTTCGTTTGTTTTGTGTAAGCCATCTTTATGATGAGCATCAAAACGCATTTGGAGGAAAAGAAAATGGCAGCCACAGCTTGCTGGCCCTCTGTGGTTGGCAGGGATTGGGGAGGCAGTGCTGAATGGAGGTGTGACCCATGCACACACAAACAAAATGCCCCGGTCCCACCAACCTCCACTTGCAAAACGCCAGAGGCAGGGCTGTCATCATCAAGTCAACACTGCTGGGGAGCCCATGCGTGTAGCCTGGAGCTCTGATCAGCACTGCTACTTCCCTGTACCTCCAGGCTCCAGTTCGGGGCAAGCTGCTTCCCTGCAGCAAGGATTGTGTGTAGGGAAGAAGAAGAAGAAGAAGAAGAAGAAGAAGAAGAAGAAGAAGAAGGGGAGGAGGAGTTTGGATTTGATATCCCGCTTTATCACTACTCTAAGGAGTCTCAAAGCGGCTAACAATCTCCTTTCCCTTCCTCTCCCACAACAAACGCTCTGTGAGGTGAGTGAGGCTGAGAGACTTCAGAGAAGTGTGACTAGCCCAAGCAGCTGCATGTGGAGGAGAGGGGAAGCGAACCCAGTTCACCAGATTACGAGTCCACCGCTCGTAACCACTACACCACACTGGCTCACCAGTGGGTGGAGCTCCAGGCTGTGCCACCCAATTCCCCAGTGTCACGGCAGCTAAAATATGTCACCTGTGATGTCAGCACATGGAGGGAATGGGATCCTGATTAATATTGTGGGAATAAGGATTTTGGCATGCTACCCCACTCATCTCACAGCTCCAATCAGCAGCGCCTAGATTGCATAGGAAAGCCAACAGCCCGCTGGCTGCAGAAGTGGGAGTGGTGACAACTTCTATTACGCACTACTGCCCCCATCCTGGGCAAGCGCGGTGCGTTCTGGGGAGAGCAGCAGAGTCTATTTATTCAAGAGCTCTCGAAACCTGGAGCTGGACTTGTTTCTCAGTTGCAGACAAACACTAATAATCAGGACTGTCAACCAATCAAATTTATCGCCAGTATGTTTTCCTGGTGGGAATTCTGGAAAGTACCTTGATAATAAATCTTTCTTGTCTGTATTGGCTTTTCTCTTTTTCATCATTCTTGACGGTTAAACTGGTCTGCAGGCAACTAAAATTGGGAAGCAGAGTTGGGTGATGGGATAGGAAAGGAGGAGGAGACTCATGAGGGTAGAATTTTCACAGTTGCATCTGCAGTGACCTGGAAGTAACGGAGCGTGTTACTTCCGGGTTTTCGCCACGCGTGCATGCGCAGACAGTCATAATGACGTCACGCGCATGTGTGGAAGCGGCGAAACGTGACCTGCGCATGCGCAAACACGCTGTCGCGTCTTACGTTCCATTCGGGATGCAAAAGGGGCTCCAGAATGGATCCCGTTTGCATCCCGAGGTACCACTGTATTACCTCTCCTGTTTTACACTAATAACTTCAAATGCCGTATCTTGGCCAGTTAGAGGGGGAAACGAGAAGTTCCTGTCAATGCCAAATTTCTATCTTCTTCAGTTAGCAACCATTCTCTCAAGACGGATCTTTGTGACTTTCGTGCATTTATTACTTGATTTCTGTTTTGCATTTGCAGGTAGCTTGGCAGTTTCCACCCAACAATTCATCAGTACATTTGCCCATTTGTAGCAGAACATCACACTCCTTGATTTTATCCACATACTGGCATGGGTTGGCTGTAAGCAATCAAGCCAAAAACAAAGTTAGATGCAAAACAGAGAAAACCACTATTTAAATCTTTATTATATCATCACAGTCTTGATGTTTCCTCTTCCTATAGTAATGCTGACTTTCTCTCTATTTCTGGGCTTGATTGAACTTGTTACAACCTACAGAGGTCTAAATGGCCCTGACCCTGCCTAGCACAGGGAATATTTTCACTCACAACAATCTCCCAAGAGAATTCAGCTCCTAGTAGGAAGGTTTGTTATGGAAAATGTTTTATTTGTGGTAATACTTAAATGATAAGTCAGGGAGGCACACAGAACTAACTCATAATATTGATGGCTCTTATTCTTTAAGAAATAAAACGCATGACTCCCTAAGGAGAACTAGCTTTGCAACAGATACTTTAGAAATAAAATGATTTAGAAGTCCATCTTATCCAGAAAAGTTGCTTCATATTATCAGTAACTTACTGCAGAGTTTATCGTCACAGTTCTGAGGGCAGTCTCCACATGGTGGACCTGGTCTGTAGGGTTCTTGTTTAACTATGCTCCCTCTGAAATTGCAGAGCAGTACAATATGCTTAGGATGTGGGTGGTGCTATGGTCTAAACCATAGAGCCTAGGGCTTGCCGATCAGAAGGTCGGCAGTTCGAATCCCCGCGACGGGGTGAGCTCCTGTTGCTTGGTCCCTGCTCCTGCCAACCTAGCAGTTCGAAAGCACGTCAAAGTGCAAGTAGATAAATAGGTACCGCTCCAGCGGGAAGGTAAACAGCGTTTCCATGTGCTGCTCTGGTCCGCCAGAAGCGGCTTAGTCATGCTGGCCACACGTCTGCGGACAAACGCTGCCTCCCTTGGCCAGTAAAGCAAGATGAGTGTCGCAACCCCAGAGTCTTCCGTGACTGGACCTAATTGTCAGGGGTCCCTTTATCTTTACCTTATACAATATGCTTTGCATCAAAGATGCTACACAGAATGACTTTTGCAGCTTACATTGTGTGGCAGGTCTGATGGCGGTTGGTTATTGACTCACTCAAAGATTTATTGTATACAGCGCATGCCATGACAAATTACACACATAAGACAGAAGAACTAAAAATATATTCATAAAATTTCAGACAAACAAATGTTTAAAACAAATCGCCCACTACGCAATTAATTGCTGGCTCAAACACATAGTATTAGCACAGCTTTCTAGCAGCTATGGCAAAATATGCCCCCTAATGTATCTTTGGTGTGTCATTTATTGTGATTATGTATTACAGTGGTACCTTGGGTTACAGACGCTTCAGGTTACAGACTCCGCTAACCCAGAAATAGTACCTCTGGTTAAGAACTTTGCTTCAGGATGATAACAGAAATCACGTGGCGGTGGCAGCGGGAGGCCCCATTAACTAAAGTGGTACCTCTGGTTAAGAACTGACCTCCAGAACGTATTAAGTTCTTAACCCGAGGTACCGCTGTATATTTATATTCCATGTTTCTTCCAACAAACTTGAAGTGGTTACATGGTTCTCTCTCTCCCCAATTTTATCCTCACAGCAACCCTTTGAGGTAGGGTAGACTGAGAGGCAGTGACTCGTCCAAGGTCACCCAGTGAGGTACACGGCTGAGTGGAGATTTGAACCCCAGTCTCCCAGCACTCTAGCCCCTACACCACACTGGCTATCAGCAAGCAGGCTAGAAATTACTTCTTCCTCCAGCCAACCATCTCATATGTAAAGGAGAAACCCGAAGAATATCAGCCTAGTATTGCCATATAGAGGACACTGCAGGCTATAGGATATAACATCCTCAAATCTGCCTTGAGCTCATGCCTGGCTGGGTAGCTGGCTAGAGCAGAAAGTCAGGAATTTTAGCCCAGTTGTGGGAAGAGGGGAGGTTGGAAGAACCAGATTTTCTGTGTGTGTGCAATTCCCTGGGAACAATGCAAAGCCATCCCTGAGCCACCTCCCTGGGGCCTCTGCAGTCTCTCTTCCAAACATGTTAGGGCTACAGTGCTCAGTCATATTGCAGCACACACGCTCTGCTATTAAATGTTAGGAAACGGGGGCAGATAAAGAACCTCTCTAGTCATCTTGTTCCTTGGACTTTAAATAAGTACCACTTCAAAAGCTTTCCCCCCACCCGGTATTTGCCCCCTCCCACTCAATGGTCTGCTCCTGTTCCCAATCTTTGGAAGGCTTCCTCACTCTACTCCAAAGCTCCCAAATGTGGAGTAATTCAGGGGGACAAAACATTTGGATCAACCAGTGTGAGTTTAGAACACGGTACAGTGGTACCTCGCAAGACGAATGCCTCGCAAGACGAAAAACTCGCAAGACGAAAGAGTTTTTCGTTTTTTGAGTTGCTTCACAAGACGAATTTCCCTATGGGCTTGCTTCGCAAGACGAAAACGTCTTGCGAGTTTGTTTCCTTTTTCTTAAAACCGTTAATACCGTTAAAACCGTGCTTCGCAAGACGGAAAATTCGCAAGATGAAAAAACTCGCAGAACGAATTAATTTCATCTTGCGAGGCACCACTGTACTCAAAACTGATACTTACACAGGGCAATAATGGCAGACATGATTGTAAGGCCAAACTAACTCTGGGCAGTAGGCAAATCCACATCCAACCTTGTATGAATTATACCAAATGGGCTATGGAGATTGCGGGGGCAGAGGGAGGAGAGAAACGTTAAAAATCACATTTAAAACAAATATTCAGGTCAAAGAAGTTCATCTGACAGCAGGTAAAGAGCTTCTAATTTGGCTGCCAGAACATGGCTGCCATTATACTTCCGTCCATTTGGATGAATGTTAACAGCTTTGTTTTAAATAAAAGGCACTGGTGAATGTTTCCAAACATATTGTCTATGCCAGGATTGAAGTGAGGAAAATACTGGAGGGGAGCAAACACATGGCAGAGACCTCACTGGCTTGAGGATTGCAACTTTAGTTAGCTGGGATGCAAGGCTGCATCTTTCTTTTTTCAAGTTTCAACTCTGATGCTGAATATTGTGGATAACCCCCAGCATTTTCTAAATCAGAAAGTCATCATTCTAGGATTGGAGTTTGGACAGAATCTGGTTGTGGAACCAGTAGCACTGGTGACGATTACCTTGATTTATTTAAATACACACACGTGAGTGGTTGCTTAGGCATTGGTTACGACTATCTGTCCTTGCCCCAGGGACAGAACTGACTTCCGGATTCCAGCGGAAGCCAGCGAGGGAAACAATTTTGGGGAGAAAATGAAGCTGGGCCTCAGTCCCTCACTTCTCACCCTCATGCTCCTGGTGGCTTGCACGGCCCAAGTCCGATGCCAGGAACAAGGACAAAAAGAATGGCAAGCCCCTGGATTCCTTTAACAGAATTCCCTTTCCGCACCACCATTGGAGGGGTAGGCACTTACCCCTCCACCAACCAATTTTAACCAATGCCTAACCGCCAACCTTGCAAGTTGTGACGATTTACTATGCAGTAGGCAAAAACCAAATGGCACCAGCCAATCAGCCAAATGGACAAAATTCCTACCAGGCCCCTGCCCCAAAAGCAGACGACCCCATAACAGGCATAGCAAGGTCAGAGGACAACGAACCCCCCCCCCCTTTCAGGGAGGGTGGGCAGGTGATCTGGTGCACGCAGCCCAAGAGAAAGCCCCAGGCTGCAAGCCCTGTATTTAAGACCTCTGGCCCCTCCCACACTTTTCTGAATGTTTTAATTGTTTTTACTAATAACTTTATTGTTGTATTCTTTGTATAAACCCCTTTGAGGGTTTTTGTGTTTTTTTTAAGAATCAAACAGCATATAAACTTGTATGAAATGCATACATGCATGCATCAATATATGGTGTAGATGCAACTGCCATCTAACCTCCCTGGAAACAAATCAGAATGAATGTGCAGTAAAACAAGTTGCTCAAGCCTTAAGGTTTATTTTATTTTTGAAGGCGATGATTGTAGGCCAGGCCTTAAGGCTTCCTTTTTTTAAATAGGGGTGTTGGCTGTAGCTGAGCTTTTTGATCGGACATCGCAGGCATGTGTCCCCCAACTTAGGTGATGCGGCGGCAAAGCGCAACTGTGCCCTTCTTGATCTGGAGGAAATGAGAACTGATCTCCAAGGAGACCACGTAACTGGTGGATTGGCCAGTGGTGCCCCTGCCAGCAATGGATTCAAAGATGGCACACACATAGGCTCCATCTTCAGTCTTGCTGTCCTCCTGTAGCATCACCTAAATTGGGTGGGGGAAGGAGAGATGCTGTATTAAAACATGGCCTGGGTCTTGCACACACACACACACACACACACACACACACACACACAAATATCTTTTAAACCCATACAAATTATTACAGTAAAAACAGCATGGCACCAGCCCTTTCATTAAAAGCAGTCAGTTGCCCAAAGCAGATTGGAACAAAAAGGTGTTCACCTGACTGTGGAAGGACAGTAAGAAGGGAGCCAATCTAACTTCTCTAGAGAGAGTCTGGGTGCAACCACTGAGAAGGCCCTGCATAGGATTGGGATGACTCTGGCAAGTTTGATTTCTCTCGGTTTCTCAATTCAAATCAAGCACATCTTGCACATTTGAAAGTAGAAAAATCTGCATCACTGCAAGAAGGAAGTGTGTGCATGTATTTATGATCCTGGGGGGGGGGGACATATACATTGCACTCCATGCATGCAGCGGAAGCTGGTCCCTTAGGGTAAATGGGGCACTGCCCCACCAACTTTACTCTGTCCTCAACTAGCCGCCTCTTGCCTGCCTTCTAACTTACAGTACTGTCAGCTTCAGGCTCGTTCCTTAGTCTAAGTGTTGCATAACTCAGCCAGGAAGAGGATGGGGACAAAACTAGAATTGCTTGGCTCTGCCTTTCATTGGCTCTAGATTTTATTATATTTACAACAATCTTACTATATTTATAACAATCACAATCCTAATTAGCCCATCAAGGCTTTCCCCTGATGTCACAATGAGTTCTTCCCTCACAGGCCTGGTCGTCGTTCAGAGGAATGCTTGGCTCCTCCTTTCCCTTCCGCATGCTCCATTGTTCGCTGGCTAAGCAAATGTCATCGTTCACAGTCCCTGGTTGAGGGGGAAAGGCCGTCAGGAATGCTAATTTCAAGGCAACAAAGCTGACTTTGGGTACTATTTCAGATTGTAAAATTTGGATATGTTTCTACGTATGCCTTCTAACCCAACAGAAACAACCCAAATGTTGACAAATCATGATTTCGGTGCAGAAGAGCAGCTACAGCAGTAGCCCACCATTTATTTCTGTCTCCCTGTTGTGTTACAATAGCAGCAATTCCCCACACCACTTTCAGATTACACTGCAAAAGCAAAGAAAAAAGAAAGAAAACCTTAAGGAAGACCAGCAATGGATTCTCTGTGAACTGGGAGGAAAAAATGCACTCAGAGGCAGGGATGGAAGGCTCTGTCAATTTCAGTTCTCTTTCAGTTACTCTAAGGCTATCAGAGAGCTCCTATGACTTTTCAGATATTGTTGAATACGAACTCTCATCATCATCATCATTATTATTACTATTATTATTATTTTAAAATACTTTATTTATATTGTTGGATTCATGACCTTTGTATCAACATGCACAGTTTATGAATTGTTGCATACAACCCTGGGATCCTTCAGGTTGAAGGGTGGGGTATAAATTAAATAACTGCCTAAATAATCCCAGGTCCTTCTGCTTGGGGCTTATGGGAGCTGGAGTTCCCCATCCCTGGTGTTCAGGATGATCAGCTCCTTTCTTAAGCTCTGGGACCTCTTACAAAACAATTCAGTGCCCATACTGGAGATATGATGTTCATGATGCATAAAAAAGCCAATTGTTTAAATTTGCATAAGTATATGTGTTTAAACAGACCTCTTTCCGGAAACTGGTTGTTCTTTGTCAGATTGTGGTGGGATCCATTTCTTTCCCTGGCTTTGGTCCACTCCGTGGCCAATAGAAACAGACCCTGCAGCCACAGCATCATCTGCAGACTGCACACCGTCATCTATTTTAAAAAAAGAGCAGATGAAGATTGAGAATGCTGGATGACAGAGCACTTTCATACACTTTAACTCCACCCACCTAAATCTGCCTCCCACAAAACACTAACAAGGAGGTGGCCAGAGAGAATGGCAGCTTACCCAGACACAGCTTACCCATCGTGCCAGGCTCTGACCCCCAGGAAAGAAGGCTGCGACTAGGCGGCCGGCAGCTGGGGAATTCCGGTGCCAGCCGCTTGGAGTAGCCAGCTTTCCCACTATCTCTTTCTTTGAATTGTGGCCCAAGCCAAATCCAACCTACACCTGGAATCAATAAAGTCCTTTTTTAAAATAGGGGTGTTGGCTGTAGCCGCACTTTTTCATTAGACAGCGCAGACATGTGTCCCCAATCATTTAGGTGATGTGCCGGCAAAGCGCAACTGTGCCCTTCTTGATCTGGGGGAAATGAGAACTGATCTCCAAAAAGCCCACGTAACTGGTGGATTGGCCAGTGGTGCTTCTGCCAGCAATGGATTCAAAGATGGCACACACGTAGGTGCCATCTTCAGTCTTGCTGTCCTCCTGTAGCATCACCTAAATTGGGTGGGGGAAGGAGAGATGCTGTATTAAAACATGGCCTGGGTCTTGCATGGCCCAAGCCAAATCCAACCTACACCTGGAATCAATAAAGTTGTGGCCTAAATTAAATCACATAACATCCAATTTGTTCACCTAACATCTTACCCCGTTTCCTGTTGATTCACATCAACCAAAATCCCTTCATGTAGGATTGTGATGTGAGCCGACACCCCTGGCTTGAACCTGTATCTGAGCAACCAAACAGCAGAGGAGAGGGAGTTGAAAGTTTTGGCAGCGGGGGTGCCAACTTGAATAAAATGGGGGGGCGGCAGGTAAGGCCTGGCCTGCATAATAGAACACGTGATGTAGTCCACACACACCATTTGAATTGCAATGCCCACAAACTGGGGGGGGGAGCCCCCTCAAAGGTTTTAGTGGAGGCTGAAGACCCCTCAGCCCCTAGGAGTGGGCTCCTATGGTTGGCAGATAAATACACTGAGAATATGCCCTTCAAAAGGTCACACAGATGGTGGTTGATGGAGGTATGACTAAACCCCGTGATATACAGAAGGGGACAAGGCAAAGATGTCCGCTATCCCTGTTACTTTTTATTCTGGTCCTAGAAGTGTTGCTGTGAGATATTAAAGGAAAGAATTATGGGAAGAAAGATTTAAAAAGAAAAAATACAAGCTAAGAGCATTTGCTGATGACATGATGTTGTCAAATAATTATGTCAAAATTTCAGTAATAAAAATGAATGTTTTGCCTAGAACCATCTCTTTATTTCAAACAATAGCTATTATGACTGATTTACTGTTTAGAGAATGGCAAAAAGGATTCATCTAAGTTTTGTGGCAATGTAAAAAACCATGAGTTAAAATGAAAGTACTGCGAGATGTGAAGGAACTGCCTGATTTGAAACTGTATTTTGCAGCCTGTTGTTGAGTGTGGAGGAAGTATTGGTTGATCTTAAGAAACAGGAGGGTTTTGGAACTAGAATGTCATGATTTGAGGTTTGGATGACATGGATATATGTCATATGACAAGGTCGAAGTGAATGTGGACTTTAAAAATCATTTTGTTAGACACACTATATTGAGAATCTGGAATAGATAGGTTTCATTTGAAAAGAGGCGACAGGTAAAGAGAAATGGTTAGTTTAGGGAGGCCAGGTGACTTCACCTATTACAGCTTTTCATTGTATAGGTTTGTTAGATTTGTGCATTGCTTCCCACTAAGGAAGTCCCAAAGCTATGTACAGCTGTTCTTCTGGTTGGTGCCAGAGCATTCCTACATCCCACTCTTCCTGAATTCTGGGTGAACCGGAATAATTCCTAAACCACAAATTCCAGAACTTCAGCACATATGCACCATAACAAACTTAGTTGGTCTCTAAGGTGCCACTGGACAATGTTCTAGCATCTCGAATTCAGGGTTACTTAAGGTGATTTACACAAGCACTTTTCCCGCCAGTAGCCAGTGTGGTGTAGTGGTTAAGAGCGGTAGACTCGTAATCACGGGAAGCGGGTTCGCGTCTCCGCTCCTCCACATGCAGCTGCTGGGTAACCTTGGGCCAGTCACACTTCTTTGAAGTCTCTCAGCCCCACTCACCTCACAGAGTGTTTGTTGTGGGGGAGGAAGGGAAAGGAGAATGTTAGCCGCTTTGAGACTCCTTAAAGGGAGTGAAAGGCGGGATATCAAATCCAAACTCTTCTTCTTCTTCTTCACCATAAATTGATTATTTAAATGCATTTTACAGCAGATATCCATACGTATCCCAGTCTTGTGAGTGGTCCAGCCTTCAATACCTATCTTACGTGAAAGATTTAAGAACAGCTGTATTTGGAAGGTTAAACCAAGATCTCTTCTTTTTTTAGTGGGATGCTAGCTTGGACGAATATTTTCTAGCTTGCCTACCAGAGTGGCAACTCAGTTTGGGAGGAAAGTAATATGTTATAAAATGGTTCTAAGCCTCTCACTCCCTCTGGGAACAAGGGGTCCTGAGATCTCCCCCCCTTTTTTGCTTTATTAACAGTCTCTTATACCATATGACACATTTCATATAGCATATCTCATATAACATATACATATACATCTTCTTGAGTAAACATATATATAATCCGTGTACGCAAAAACCATATACAAGTAGTATCCTGTTTACTTACATAAATTAAACTGATTCATATTTTTACTATCTTTTGTTGTCTTATCTATTTATTAACATGAGTTAAAGAAAGAAAAAACCAGGCGAAAAAAGAAAAATGTATAGTTGGACTTCCTATCATTTCCCAGTATATAGCCTTATTCTAGTAATGAATAAGTTATTATTGAGTTATTCTTTATATTCCTTTTAATACATTCTTACAACATGAATGTATTCTTGTACAATCATGAAACAATTTCAAGAGTTCTACAGTGCCTTAGGTTCAAGGTCAGAATGACGGATTGCTGATTAGTCTGACCAGGAGGCATCACAATTCTGATTGTGCTACCTTTCCATTCTCCTGAAAGTGACTTGAGCTAGTTTACGGCTATTTAACACAATGAAAAGATTTGCTGTCAGAACAATTCCCAGGAAATGGAAACACATGCACAGGTGTGTGTGTGCGCGCACACACACAACCCAAAGGCCACTATGAAGTCAGCTTGAACCTTCCACTTACGCACCTCTCTGTGGATTAATGGTACATGTCACCTTCGTAGAACTGGAGTTGCAATGCTTGATTACTGTAAGAAAGCATATTTAGTTCTGCTTTGCCAGATGCTGTATCGTTTGAATTTTCCCAGGTGTTGATGTCCAGCCTTGGAAGGTTTGGTAAAGCCCAAATTTGATAAGGAAAAGAAACATAGGTGAAAGTTGGACATTTAGTTTTCCATGTTGGTAATTTATTGGACAAACTGGGTACATAAAGTAATACTTAGTGAGTAACACAACACTTGAAAACATTTCCTGACAACATTGTATGCTCTTTATGGTTCATGGTGCTCTTTTTGTCATTCAGGTTGTTCACATTTGTTACGCAGAAATGAAAGAAGTTTATAAAGTGGGTACATGGGGAAAAAGCACTGTGTACCATATTGGAAAGCGCATAACTTTTAGTAACTTTGTTCAACCAAAGCTCCATCATTTGTTCCTGCTATAGTAGGTTATTAGAAATGCTATCTTAGACATTCATTACTAGAATTAAGTCGTGATCTTCCTTCTTCCGTAATAAAGCCTCATCCTGCTCATATACATCACCATTTAGATCCCTATCTTTCCCTCTGATTTTAGTAATTTTAGTAGCCCTGTGCACAAACCCACAGAGCCATGAACCAAGACATGGTAGCTGTTTCCACCCCAGTAATGAAGACGCTAGTTTGCAAATCAAAAGAAAAAGAATCATTAGAATCCATCCGTACGAAATTTCGTTTTTTGCCAGGGCCTTGAGTGACTTTGCTGCACAAACATACAAATGTTTTAGTCTGTCCCAAATTATCTGAAGTTCCTTATGTATATTAGTAGGTATCTTAGGGAGTAATAAGTTAGTCATTATTGGAAGCTTACTCTTGCACATCCTGCCCATTAACATTGAGCCAGTGGAACTAACTGACATTTTGCTGCAACACCAAAGGCAGTTCTAAGCAATCAGCTTTTGCCTCCCTCAGTAAATAACCTGTCTGATAGACTGGGTTGCTCTTTCAGCCCATAGGGAAATTCGTCTTGCGAAGCAGCTCAAAAAATGGAAAACCCTTTCGTCTAGCGAGTTTTCCGTCTTGCGAGGCATTTGTCTTGCGGGGCACCACTGTATCCCCTAGCTTAGCTGTGCTCTGTGTGAAGTTTCATTGGACACTTCCAGTATTATGAGAAAGGGAGAAAAACTTGTCACTATCTACTTGCTCTAAACCATGTGCAATCTTATAAATCTCTACGTATAAGGCTGACATGCAGAGTACTTTTAATATTTGTGGTTGGGCACCATTGCCCTTGAAAGATAAGCTGAAGCTGTTTTTTAAATACAAATCAACAGCAAATGATTGCTCAGTTGAACATTCCATTCCCAATGTTGGTGGATTTGCTGGATGTACTGGACGTACAAAGGATGTATTAAGAAGCAATGAGAGGCTTGCCTGACTGCCCTTCATGGCTCCCAGGGCAGCAGCACACGGGCAACATAAGCTGCCTTCTACTGAGTCAGGCCATGGGGCACCAAAGGGGTTTTTCTGAGGTAGTTTTATTTTGTCAGTTAAGGCATCCGCATCCTAGAAAGGTAAGCGAACAATGGTAGTAAATACATAATCTGAAGTAGAAAGATAACAAGTGCTTTGTTCAATGCATACTCCATTTGTTTCAGATAATGGTTACAGTAGGAAATTTTAACTGCAATCTTAGAAACTCATGACTAGCTGGTATCCTCCCCTGTCTAGAAATAAAACTTTATTCTACCCTTATATGCTCTGTGTAGAAAAAAGTTACCAGACGTCCCCGTTTCCTGGGAACAGTCCCCGGATTTACAAATCAGTCCCCTGACAAAATCCATCTATTTAGTCGGAAGTTGAAAAGTGTCCCTGGATTCCCTGGAAAAAAATCTGGTAACTTTAGTGTAGATCCCTGCCATGGCCTCTGATACGCAGTTATTATGGAATTAATTATGGCGGCAATGAGCGCTCACACCTTCCTTGTGGGCGCTCTTTGCGGGACCGCGCACAGCACCGTGGCCCCATAGGACCCACCAGCTGGCTGGGCTGGCCTGCCTCCCTGTGCTAGTCATTGGAGGTTCCCGCCAAACCTCAGTTAGCCAATCAGCCCTACAGGGAGGTGGGGCCAGCTGCTTAAATAGGAGGCGGAGCCAGCAGCAACCATGTCGTTAGCCTTCTTGGGGGCACTTTGGATTGGTTAGTGTGTCAAGGCCTTTGCGGTCACGGATTTAAGCTTTTCTGATTGCAACTTGCAACTCATCGAGTTC